TCTCCAGCCCTCAGCTTGTTGCTCCTGCTGTTGACCTTCAATATCTTGCATTTCTTGACATTCAGTTTTAGCCCCACTTGGACTTGAATAAAACGTTAGCATTCTTGGACTTGAACAAACGTTAGCATTCTTGGACTTGAACAAAAGGGCAAGTGCGTGGTTATGAGCATGAAACGCTCACTGTTAGAAAAAACGGTGAAAAAACGGTCCCACCGGCATCCTAGTGGCCGGTCGCTCCGTGAAAATAAACTGTTTCACCGTTTTTATCAGATGTTTTACGGATTTCTAGTGTTAAATTAGAGTAAAAACGGCGAAACGGTGTTTTTTTCACACATACGACTCACCAGAGTTACCAGATGACCTAAAAAACGATTGAGTTTGCGTTCAAAAAAGGTAAAAAGGCCCATTATTCGATTATTATTAGTAATTTTGCACGTTACAGCGAAAGAACACAATTATACTTTTCTCGTTACTTTGTAAAGTACGAGAAGAAAGTATTACCGTCGTAAATTTTGCCGGCCAATTCAAGTGAAAAAAGAACTAAATCGTGAAATTTGACCGGAAAATGTACCTTGCGTCCTACCAGTGAGTCGCATCGTGCTCAACGTGTTAAGTTAACAATTGAGCCACTATTTTGTACTATGAGCTGCATGAAATATACCACATGTGCTTATTAGTTCCGGTAATTGCCCTAGGGCACAACTCTATCTTACGTTACAGCGTCACAGTCACTAATGTAGTCATAATTGTAATTGTTATACGATACCTACGTCACGAATCTAGTCAATTATTTCTCATCACCTCGTATACATGCTTTTGATATCGCACAGCATATTCATGCTCCTTATATTGCCTCGTTTTAGTCTCCGGTTCATCGCCTTGCATATATACGCTCCGGAATATCGCTTCGTATTTACACTCCAACATCTCTCCTCGTACTCACGCTCCGGTATCTCGCCACGCATTTACGCTCCGGAATATTGCCTTGTATTCACGCTCCTTGGGTTTACGACCCTGAAGATAAGAATAAAACCGGCTGCAACCATCAGGTCTGTGGGGAGCCTACAACAAGTTCCCCGCCAGGCTGGCGGCCGTCCGCGACGCCATGTTAGCTGTTCCCCCAGTAAAGGAGCAGAAGACCTTTGATCAAATCATGTTGGCGAAGCACCTCTGGCCCTTCATGCAGGTACCGTTGGCACCTTATACAGGCCCATCATCAACTGTTGGCTCATCATTGGCCCCTCCAGTTGTCCATATATCTTCGCATTTAGATAGGTATGATAGCATGAACAAGATTCTGGCACTGATCACGGCATTATTTCCGTAGTGAAAGGTAATCGAAGTAAATTTGTTTCGGCGACTATTTCTACGTCATTTACACAATTCATGGTCGAAATCGATGAAAGTTTTCTCCGGCAACTATATCGAATTCCTTTTTACGATTCGTGATCTTGGTCACTATATTTTTATGTTTGTTCTGGCAATTACCTTGACGTCAATTTCACGATTTGTGGTCATAATCTCTTCAAGTTTGTGCCAGCAATTATTTTGACGTCGTTTCGACGACAGGGTGACCTGATGGAGCACGACTCGTATCACTGCGAAATTTACCCCGGCAGTCTGCCGTTCCCGACGCAGCGACGCGAGTGGCGGTACTGCGGCTGGGGGCCGTACAAGGCGTCAAAGCGCACCATAGTCTTCAAGAAGCAGTGCCCCATGGCCTGCCGTCCTAAGGACCACCCTGACTGGACCTGGTGCTGACCAATAAAATATAATGGTCACAATCCATTAACTTAAAACTCCAACCTCGCAGCATCTTTTGCTAACAAAAATAATGTTTAAAACCACAATTAAGCATATAATGGTCATAATGCATTTATTTAAAATGTCAACCGCGCTAGATAAGGTGCTGAGTTTATAAGCCTTCTTGTACAACCCTTTTTTTCGTTGGCTAATTTGAAATGCAAGACATACGAGTGGTTTTTTATTTGATAGCAGATCAACGAAAGATATCCTCTAATTAGGGGCATGGTTTTTAATCAGTTCTTTGGCAGCGTTTTCACTTGAACAGTATTCCAGCCATTCATGATTTCACAGCCAAATAAGAAAAATTATGTTGTCAGTTTCGAAATACACTACGAGGTTTCCAAGCGGCAGGTTTCTCTAAATAAAATCTAGTCGTGTAGTATACGTTTTGAAAGTATTGCCCCTGAGGCCATACTTTCAAAAAAGTCAGGAGATCGTAAGATATTCAGCCAATCATTGACGGCCTTTCAAGCAAAATCCACCAATCAAAGACAAGAAAATAGAGCGTAAGGGAACGTACACAGTGAAAGCAGGTTTGCCCGCGCGGGCAACCTGCTCCAACCTTCTTTCACCTCAGATTACTCAAAAGACCTTTAACGAAACAACTTTGCCGGCCGATTAAAAAGAACCAAAAGTGACAAAATTGTTAAAAAAATGACGAGAGTAGCCGCAGTAACTATTGCTCTGTCAGTCTGACCAGTGCTGATTGTAAGATTATGGAAGGGATAGAATAATTGATCACCTGGCAGTTAACGATCTGTCAAACAGTCAACATATGGCTTCATGGCAAGTAAATCTTGCACCACTAACCTCTGGTAAACTTTGAAAGATTTGAATCGCCTGCTGGACGATGAGGGGCCAGTGAATGCGGTATATCCCAATTTCGCCTAAGCAGTTATTTTACAGTGTTGCGCACGAGCGGCTGCTGCGTTAAGTATGGTCCTTGGGAATGGAAAAAATTGAATCCAAGGCATTAATCAAAGATTTTCTAGTACGCAGACGACGACCGTATCAAACTGGGCAACAGCGTTCTCGGGCTTGTTTCATTCATTGCGTTCATAAACGATCTGCCAGAAGTTGTGTCAAATGTGTGTTCGATGTATACTGACGACACAAAAGTTTATAACACAGTTAAGATAGCGTCAAAAGAAATTACAGTTGAAAGATGATCTCTATAGCCTAGTTGACTGGGCTGGTACATGGCAGCTGTATTTTAAAGCTGATAAGTGTAAAGTACTTCACCTTTGAAAGAACAATACTTCATCGTCGGAGACCTCAATTCCAAAGTGGGAACTAAGTGACAACAGCGGTTACGAGAGGACTCTGGGCATGCACGAGGTAGGGACACAATGATAACGCAGAAAGACTATACCATTTCTACTAGCTAAATTGACTGATAACAGGAACATTGTTCCCCCATAAGAACATACACATGGCAACATGGGTATCTGCAGATGGAAGAGTAAAGAATAAGATCGACCGTTCCCTAATCAACGGAGAGTGGAGAATTTATGACACGCTAATACAGTAAGAAGCCGACATCAATAGTGATCACTACTTAGTGAGGACTCGCATTAAACTGTGTCTCAGTACCCACAGAAACAATAAAAAGGTCAAAAGAAAAATGATTGTGGAACGACTGAGAGATAAGGGGACGAGGGAGAAGTACCGCGGGGCTGGACAAGACCAGGAACAAGCTGGACGAGACCAGGAACAAGAGTGACGACAGACAGCAGTAATGGAAACCGCTGATAAATCCCAACAATAAATCCCAACATCAAGTCGGCAGAAGAGGTTCTCGGCTGCAAGAAAGGGAAGAAAAAGCCATGGATCAGCAGTAACACCTTAAAACTGATCTACGAGAAATGAACCGCCAAAACAAGGATCGATAAAACCACCTCAAAACGAATCAAAAAAAGAATGAGAGAAGAGTACAAGTAAAAGGAAGGAAATTAAAGAGGAGCGTAATAGAAAGTAAAAAAAGTGGACGTCAGAGATAGCAGAGCGAGCACAAAACGCAACGGAAAACGAAAGATAGAAAAATTTATACAGTATCGTGAAAAAGCTGACGGGGCAGACTACCAGCACTTGACAAGACAGCACTAAGTGACCTGATTTCACAGTTGAGGCACAAGACGCGAAAAAAATCGGCACAAAATTATGGCCTCCAGAAGTGAAACGGCCCTGGGCTTATACTTTCAAAAAAAGTTAAGATATCGTAAGTTCGTCAGCCAATCATTGACGGCCTTTCAAGCAAAATCTACCAATCATAGAATAGAAAATTGAGCGTAAGTACTTACGTTCACTTAGCGAGTTTTGAAAGTATGGTCCTGGAGCAGACCAAATCTCAGCCGAAATTTAAAACAAGTCAGTTCTTGAGATGACAGAAGCAGAGAAAATCAGCGAGGTGATATGGAGATGGAACTTCACAAGCTGTTTGCGGAGGAAAGACTGAACAAGCGACTGTGTTGTGGCGCTGGTTTGGTTATCTGGACGCAGACAGTGTGCCAACTTTTTCCGCCGAGTATACCAGATTGCCTGGCTTAATATACCAGAAATATATCAAATTTTTATCTTTTCCAAAACAGATTAATACCCCCAAATTTAATGAACCTCTTCATAAAAAATGTTGGTTAGAATAAGAAAAGTTATTCATGTCCTTTATTCTGAGCTTAGCTTGTCGTAGAATAAGCAAAATTTTGATATGGTACATGATGCGTAACATTCTGATACTTTCTTCAAAACACATGGCCTACCGCCTACCCGGGGAAGTTGCAACATCAGAGGTGAAACTTACTGCAGTGGATTTGCATAATTTTAAGGGGTATTTTACAAGTTTTTGCCGTCCTTTTTATTATCAATCCTGACAAGTTTATTTTACTGTTATATTTTACTGTCAAATTTACGTGTGGAATCATTATATAGTTTTTCTGACCTTTGCTAGCATGTCATAATGTAATTTACTTGCAAATTTTATTGGCTTTTTCATCTATGTTTATTTTCATACCTGTTCTCCATAATTTACTAGCTTAAGATCCTAAATGGCTTACTATAAGATGTTTCTAGCGTGCATCTTTAAGCTTAACTGTTACTGTATCTTAATTCATAATTTGTGTAACAATCTCTTTGCTCTGTGATGTTAAAACTGCAGTTCGCTGAGAGTACCACTCAGTTATAATTTCCTGCAAACGTTTTTGATGATGCGCCTTAGTTTGATGCAATTCAGATTGGAAAAAAGGGAAAATTAGAAATTAAAAATAAAGAAATTCAGTTATGCCAATAGCTTTAAATTTCAAAATTAACTTTAACACATTGAGTTCGGCTTGCCCCAGCAGAGCTTTCATTTGGGCCAGATGGCCTAGATACGACTAAGTTTGCGGATAAAAAGGACAAGAATACAAAATATACTAGTAAATTTGTAGGTTCCGGTGCAAAAATAAATTTTCCTTTTTTTCCGTACTTTTTAAACTTTAATGCGGTAGTATTGCCATCATAAATTTTTGTCGACAGACGCAATTGAAAAAAATGAAATCGCAGAATTTGTCCGGAAAAAAAAACTTGTAACCCACCGGTGGATCGTGCCGGAGTCAACGTGTTATGTTTTCTTCCGTGGAACGTAGATAAAGGCACAGTTCGGCAACAGTTTCAAGAGGTAATTTCCACTATATGGGGATTTTATTTTTTAACAAAATTTCGCAACTGATGACTGAAAATACGATAATGTGTCCGAGTATAAAGTGAAATTGAACACTTACATTGTTTTATTTCAGTCAAACTTGTGAAGTGTGTGAACATACCAGAAATATATTAGATTTCAGATATATACCAGATCAAAGAAATCCACCCCAGACACTTTTTTCTTGTTGATGGTATTAGTTTTAGATTACTCAACTAGTCATCGCAATACCCGTCATTGCCACTGAAACACATGCCAGCGAGAAAGGCATATTCATCGTGTGCGCATTATTTTTTTCAAATAGTATATTAGTGTTAGCGCTGAAGGCCCTGTTTGGCCTCACATCGATTCTGGTCATTTTCGTAACTTGTTCAGACGACAACCAAAAACTGGAATACTTATCAGCTCTTTTTCAAAACTATCGTTGGCTTGAGGACTGCTGGATTTTTACCAGCCCCGTGCGATGAAAAGCACTAAGCAATTCAAGTCTAAATATATATCCCAGCATAATCTAGTACTCTGCTCTTGAACGGGTTTATACACGGAGCGTCGGAGTGGCAACGATGCGAGCAGGGAAGTTGTTCCACATGTCTGTGACTCGAAGCAAGAAGTGTTGTCGCGCGGATGAGTTGCATCGCAGTGTTCCTTTTTAACTCATATCCATGACCCCAGGTGTGGGTTCTTGTTTCATATTACGTTCTGGAATCGTTCTGGAATCATATGTAGAACATGAGCATACTTTTATATAATGAGGTCTCAACGCAGACGTCAAAATCTTAGACTTGAAAGCTTCAAAATAGCTAGTATTTCCTCACAAGACTTGCTCATCAAGCCTAGAACTATCTTGTTTCACGCCTTCGAACACTCATGGCTAAATTTTAGTTTATTTTACGTTCTGGCGTACACACGGCGTTGACAAACATAGGGGCGGGCGCACGACAGCGACCAACATCAGATTCAGCGATCCTAAATGTAGGTACTCGTATGAGCGTCTGATCAGTCAAAGCAGTTTATATCATTTTAAACTTGTTCTTCAATAGGCTATGAAAGTTGCAACTTTTTGTGAACACTTTTCAATCATCACCCTCTGGTTGCAACAATGTCTTCTCAAAGTATCAACAATGTCTTCTCAATCAATGTCTTCTCAATCTTCTCTCTATCTATCTATCTTTGATCTTCTCTCTTCTCTATGTCAAGGTTCGATCAAATTCCTTTTGAAAGTTCGATTTTTGTTTCATCCGACCAGGATTTTGTCCGATTTCCCAAATCTTGTGGTTTTCACGTGTCGGTACTTCAACAGAGGAATCTTTCGTGAGGATCTTGACATAGGACCAGTACGATTTAGAGCTCTGCTGATTGTGTCATTTTCTACATCTATCCAAGATTCCTCCAGGTCGCTATTAATTTCACCACGAGCAACAAACGGGTTCTTCTGTACCTTTCTGTTAATCCACCTTGCAGTTTCCTTGAACGACCAGGTCTTGGAAGGTTAGCAACAGCATGCTCGGATGATATCAAGATGATTACTTCCTGATGATATTTCCAACTGTACTCAATGATAGATCAGGCTCTTTGGATATTATTCGATACCCTTCCGTTTATTGTGACAATCTATGATCTTTTGACGCACATCTGTCACCAACTCTCGAGTTTTAGCCATTT